AATGAACAGATCGCTATATGTCACCAGGTATGCTGTGGGGGGGAAAAAAACCCATCTATCCATTGAGGGAATGGACTTTTCCCCCTTCTGAACACTTTTCTCTCTCTACACTTTATTTTTTTTTTTTTAAGATTTTATTTATTTATTTGACAGAGAAAGACACAGCGAGAGAGGGAACACAAACGGGGAGAGGGAGAAGCAGACTCCCCGCCGAGCAGGGAGCCCGATGCGGGACTCGATCCCGGGACTCCAGGATCATGACCTGAGCCGAAGGAAGTCGCTTAACCAACTGAGCCACCCAGGCGCCCTCTCTCTACACTTTAAATCAACACATACGCGCATAAATGCCTAAGGCCAGACAGGCAGACTCACATGTGGTCACCATCTTAGCAGTCTGAATTTCTGTCCTTTTTCCCCCAAATCCACCCTGTCCAGTCACTTAGAAGGTGGAGAAGAAAAGCTCAATCACCAAACATAAGCCCCCAGTTACTACCTCCTCACTGTCCTCCCTACCCTCTGGGGCTTCCGTAGTGAGCCTTCTACTTCCCAGCGCCGGGACAGCCTGCTGAACACCTACATCCATTCGACATCCAGCACTGGTGACTGCCTGGACAACCAGGTCCTACGTGAGGCACTGGCCAGTAATGGAGAAGATGAGTGGTTCCTGGCCCCACAGAGCTCTCAGTATGGTGCAGGAGACAAGCAGGAGCATGGACAACCAACATATGGCGTGACTAGGCACGGTGAGGAAGCAAAGGGTGTTATGGGAGGAGGGACACCCAACCCGCTCCTGGAGGTTAAGCAGCACAGTTCAGTCAAGACCCGAAGGCTGTTAGAAGGTGGCCAGGGGAGTGGCAGGTGCTGCTGGCAGAGGACAGAGACAAGAGCTGCATGGCAGGCTTATGGAACGCTAAAAAGGCCAGTACGGCCGCATGAGAACATGTAACAGGGTTAGTGAGGAAAGGCAGAGAGGCTTGTAGGCCCGAAAAAGAACCGCACACCAAGCTGGAGTTTGAATGTTGTCCTAAGAGCACAGGGGAAGCCACGGAAGGGTTTTAAGCAAAGGAGAGATGTAATCAGTGCATGTTACAAAGACAATTCCAGCTATATTGCAGAGAACTGATGGCTGGGGGGTTGGGGGGGTGGGATGCCCACGAAGCTAAAGGCCAGTCACAGGAGGCAGTCCCAGAAATCCCAGGGAGAAATGACAGTGGCCCAGACGAGGAAGGGGGGCTGGGTTAGTGGATTTGTGGTAATAAGGAGGCGGGACTGATAACACAGGTGACTCAGTCTGTGGGGAGAAAGGGAAGTCAAGAGCAGACAAGGCCCTCATGCTTGCTGGGCTGCGCCCCTTTATCTCCTCGCTTTCACCACAGCAAGCCCCGATCTCTCTTCTCCTCATTATGGTGCGAGAATCTGACTCAGCCCACTCTGCTCTGTTGTCCCCTTCCCAGCTCCCCTGGCAAAGAAGGGAGAAGAAAGAACCAGAAACATGTGGTTGAAGTGAACCAACTCAGTGGAATCCCACTGAAAGGGGAAGTGTTGGCAGCCGGTCCCTCCAACCGCCGAAAATGCCAGCAGCCAGCGCCGCCTGATCTGTGAGTGCCCTGATGGGCTGGCAGGTAAGCCTAGGATCTGGAAGTTCTCTACCCACCATATTCACCCACCGCCACTCCCCCTGGCCAGACTGTTAGAACACCCCCCCCCCCAAGAACTGTGCCCAGACGCCGCTGCCGCCTCTCCCTCGGCTGCTTCCTCTCTCCAGCCAGGCGGCACTGGAAGGGCTTCCCGAGGAGCCTGAGCAACCTCGGTCCTCCCCGGGGCTGATGGATGCTTCTCCGTATCCTGTGCTGACCTTTCTGTCCCAGCCACCAGTCCTGTCTGTTTCCCTTCTGGCCCCACCTAGCCCTGTATCTCCTGCACTCCTCCTTGCCCAGCACCAGGGGCTCCTGGCAGGGATGCCTCCCCACTGGATGCTTCCAAGCCCCTAGTGAGGCTGGCAGTGGGGAGGGGCCAGTTCCATACCTTCTCTGCTGCCACCATGCTCCCCACATCTCCCTATCGCTGCTCCTCCGTGAACATCCATCTGAGACTCCCCCAAGAGGTTCCTCCTGTCCTCGGCGAGCTCCCCTCCCCAGAAGTGCCAGAGTTCTATAAACTATACAGGGTTTGTACGTGACCTTTTGTGTTTATCCTGTGTTGATTTACCTTAAATGCACAACATACGTATCTATAAAATCACAAATACTTACGACCGTAACTTCTGTTTTCACTTAAATATTTTATGCTTTCTTACGTTCAAAAGATCACGGTGCTTCGAGCAGAGCCACACAATCAAGTCACTCCACTTGTGTGTGAGTGTGCACAGAACTCTGCAGCCTCTTGTGCAAACTAGGCTCCTCTGGCAGCCTGGAAGTTTCTGAAGGGCAGAAACCACACTGCCTGCTTCTCGGAATCCCCCATCTGACAAAGTCCTGCTTATTGTCAGATGGCATCTACGCCACCACCCTGCCCCGATCTCTGGGTACCGGCAGGACCTCACGAGCGGCTGCCTGTTCTACCATCCCCCACACGCCCTCACTGAGCACAGCGACATCACAGCGGGTCCTGTGCCCAGAGCAGCTGTACTCTGCGATTTGGAGAAAAGGTACGCAGGGTTCCTCACAGAAGTCAGACACGGGCCAGGCCTTCACGGATCTCACAAGAGAAGTCACACAGTTAAGAGAAGTTAAGCGTTAAGTGTTCGAGCAAAGGTGTATAAACTGAGGTGCCGCTGAAGGGGGGGGTGTGGAACCGTGGGGGCAACCTGAACCGATCGCCGTTTCATAAACATAGCTGTTCTTCCATTGCCCCCACCTATTCCGCTTTATACTCACAAGGAATGTAGAAATAATCACTGCAGCCATTCCTGACCAGGGGTGGGGGAGGTTCTAGGAAAGAAGCTAAAAGTCTGTCAACGAGGGTCAACTAAAGGAGCTACAGTATAAACATCCAGTGGAATGTAGTTATCAAAAATAATACGAAAGTTCTCTGTCCGGACAGGAAAAGACCACCAAGGCACAGGTGTGAAAGTCGCAAAACGATTCGTATGTGACCTCACGTTTTACACACACACAGCTGAAGTACTTTTCTCGCAGGAACAGTTGCAGAGAAGAGCAGGAAAGGGATGGGGGGGTTCCCTTTTCACTCACACACACACATACACACACACACTTCTGACACCTCTGCGTTTTTACTAATGTGCCAGAACAAGAGAAAACAAAAGTTCACAGTAAGTGATGCCGCAGCCTGGACATGGGAGAGCCTACCCAGGGGCTCTCCACGAGTTCTTCTCCAACTCCAAGGGCCACTAGGTGAGGGCATAAACACACAACTTTTCTCCCGTCTGTCTCAAGGACGAGAAGGTGGCACGGTGGGTGCTGCAGGGTGCACTGGCGTGTGAAGTCCCAGAGACCAAGATTCAATCCCAGGTCTGCTTACAACTGCTTGGCCGATCCTGAGGAGGCCACTGGGCTTCGGTGGAACATTTTCCTCGTCTGTACTGGGCAGCAGAGAGGTACAGAGCATGGGCTTTTAAAAGCCCACAGACCAGCCCTGCCACCCACAGGCTGTGATCCTAGATCAATCACGGACTGACTCTCCCTCAGGGCCTCCCTTTGCTCTTCGGATTCTTTTCTCAAAAAGCAAGGGTGGGGGAATAGAATCACTCGCCCTCCCAGAATGTTGCAAGGATAAATGATACCATGTATCTAAAGTGCTACATACAGTGCTTAGCCCCTCATATGTGCTCAATAAACAGCAGCTGCCTCCTTGCTGCTGAGAGGGCCAGGGTACACCTGCCGGGTCTCCATAATGGGGTATTGAGATCTAGCCAGATGTATGCTGGGAAAGAGCTCCGGAAACAGAGTTGAACACAAAAGTGAGGGGTGCTTATATAAGGATTCCTCTCCCACCTCAATGCCAAGCCTCAGCTACCACCCAGCTAAGATCCCTAGTGGCAGAGGGTGGGGGTTGTAGAATGCTCTCTTCATTCACCCTCTGGACAAAATTCTAATCGGTTATTTATTTGGGGTCCCCATATCAACTAGACAGGAAACCGGGAACCAGAAGGGGAAAATTGGGCTGCTAGAAGTAGATACCGGCTTCTGCTAATTATACCCCAGCCCAGGAACCCTCAGAGTCCTCGTCGCCCATCCCTGGATCCCTTCAAATCCTCACAACTCTGATGCCCCATCCTCCAGACACTCCGCAAACAGAACTATACTTCTCAAGGTCACGAAACCCAGCCCAATTCCTCAGGCTCTAACAAACATCATCCCAAAGCACACTCCTCTCCCAAGCTACTCCACAAACCATGGGGTCCTTTCCCAGAAACTTCCACAAACACATCTCCTCCCAGAGTCCTTCTGAGATGCTTCTTCAACGCTGTCTGCCTGCTCTGCCAAATCCTCCCCCTGCCACCCTCCAGGTACCCCCCCCAAAAGTCCTCCTGTCTCCATCCCAGGTCCCCTTATCTCCACGCTGGACGCCAGCGCACTCCAGTCCAGGGTTCTCCACCTGACATCCTATACACACCTCCCATCTCAAGGCCATTGCCCGCCGCACTCCTCCACATCCCCCAAACTGGAGTTTCCGCTCTGCAGCTCTTACATACAGGCTCCTAGACCAAGTCCCGGCCCTGTCCATGCTTCCACTCCCGGCACCCCACCCTACAGTCGGCAGCCACACATGCCGGGCTCCCCAAAGTTTCGTCCTTAGAGGGGAGGGCACACATTTTCCTCCTGGGACCCCCCGAGGCCCTCTTCTCCTCCCGAGTCCTCATACAGGCACCTTTCATTCCCCCCGCCCAGTCCAAATGCTCTGAAAACACACCCGGTCCCAGGCTCCCTGACTTCCTCTCCCCACGCAGGCCAGATCCCCGTTCGACTCACTCTCGCCCTCGGCGGCTCCCAAGTTCCCCCGACGCCCCCTCTCTCCCACCCGAAGCCCATCAAGTTCCACCTCCAACCCTCACCTAGTCGGGGACGGGGTGGGAGCCCAGCGGCACCTTTCGGGCTTATGCTCACTCCCAACGAGACCCCCCCAACTCCTCCCACCACTCTCCGCTGAGTTCTCCTGGGCTCCCCTCAGGGCCCGAGGTCCCTCTCCAGGGAACCCGTCTGCCGGTCCGCTCACTCCCACTCCAGCTTCCAGCCGGTTCCGGTCCCCTGCGCCCCTCCTCTCGGCCGGCCCCTGTCGGACCCTCCCGCCCCGGGGCCCCCCTCCCGCCTCGAGCCGCCGGGTGCCCTCAGGACCCCCCTCGGACGGCCCCTCACTCCGTCTCCGGGCCGGTCGCGGTCCCCTCCCGTCCCCCCCCCCCGGCCGTCCCGGCGGCCATTGCTCCAAGATGGCGGCGACGGCGGCGGCGGGTGAGGCCGGGCCGGGCCGGGCGGGGGGTCGGGGGTCCCGGGGCGGTGCTCACCTGCAGCTCGGCGCGCTCGGCCTCCCAGCGGGCCTTCTCCGCTTCGAAGCGCGCCCACTCGTGCTGGATAAAGTGCAGGATCCCGGGCAGGCTCAGGGGCTCGGGCCCCGCCGTAGGCCCGGGGCTGCCTCCGCCGCCGCCTCCCTTACCAGCCGGGCCGGGCCCCGGGGCAGGGGCAGAGGGCGGGGCTGCCCCCGTCGGGCCGGGGCCCGCACCGGAGCCCAGCGGGCGGCAGGAGGAGGCGGCGGCGGCGACCGCGGCGGCCGCTCGCTCCTCCATCATGGAGGCCCCGGGGCCGGCCCGCGCGCCCGCTGTGCCTCGCGCGCCTGCGCGGCCGTACCACCGCCACCCCCCACCCCGCCCGCGCGCGCGCTCGGCGGGGGCCGGGGGGGGGGCGGTGATGGGAACGAGGACGGGCGCGCGCCTCGCCCACCCAGGTCGACCCCGAAAGCGCGCGCGCGCGTGCGGTTGGGAGGGAAGGGGCGGGGCGGAGGCGCGCGCCCCGAGGAGCGCTGAGACCCAGGCCCAGCACGAGGGTCGCGCCTGGGAAGAGCTGGACTTTGGGAGGAACCGCTTTCTGCCCCTCTCCTCTTGCTTCGCCCCAAAGAAAAATTCTAACCCCCTCCAGACCCAAATGTCACTCTCTTTGATACTGTCCCTCTGAGAGAAAGGGTGACCACCAGGGGTGGTTTCAGCAGTGGCCCCATCCTCTCTGATTCCTGGTCCAGGTCGGTAGTCATGGTAACCCTTCCCCAGCCTGGAATCGTCCCCCTTTGTGGTTATGGAGCCCCAAACCTCACCTGTCCCTGCACCAGGAGGAGGTTGCTAAGGTAACCTAAGTCCCTGGTGGTCCTTCTGCCCCTACCTTCATTTGGTTACTATGGCAACCTCACCTAGCACTCAGGTAGAAAGGACCCCAGCCCCAAGGACACTGATTGCTGAGAGAACACCTCTTTCCCAACCCCTCCCCCTAGCCACCCAGTTGGCATTACCATGGTAACCTGTTCCCCCCACCTTTCTCATCGTGGGAGGTCCATGGACCAAACCAACCAGGTGTGTTTATTTAGAGAGGATGCTCTGCTGAGGAGTCGTTGCTATGGTTACAGGGCCTGGACCAGGAGGTGGAAACAGGCAAGGCCAACCCCTGGTTACTATGGTAACAAGGACAGTCCCCCTTCCCATGACCCTAAGAACCAGGCCCACCAAGGTAGGAGACAGTTTTCAGATTGTGTCTCGGGATGGAGTAGGTCTAGGGAAGAGGTTGTCATGGTAACAGCTTCAGTCACTTCTAGCCCCACCTTTCTGGACACATTCATTCATAAGAAAGGGATGGTTATAGGTTGCTATCATAACTGATATCCTTCCCACCCATTCCTGAGATACCCCAGGTGGTGCCTGAGCTTATGGAACTTCAAAGAGTAAAGGATTCTCTGACCTTCTCACTGCCACTTTTGTAGGTAAGGTGAAATCATACTCTACTTTGCAAAATTGGCTGATTTGGGGTTTTCTGGTTCTCGTTCCCTCAGCAGTGCAGCTGAGCTGGGCTGGAACCGCCCACCCGGAGGTCCTGCAGCAACCTAGGAGGTAAGAAGTTCCTCAGTGTCACCAGCACTCCTGTGGAAACTGCCCTTCCCCCATATTGTTCATTTTCTTTGCCTGTCACGTTCCCATTCCACAGATGCAGCAGCTGAGGCCCAGTCCACAGCAGAGCTCAGGCTGGGTGAACCTAGGCCTAACGTGAATCTGGATCCACTTACATTGTTTTGTGAGGAACGGAGAGACAAAGTCTCAGCCTAACTGTCCTCTCCTCCCCTGACCACCTTTTCTCTATCACACCCCCCGCTGGTTTCCTGACCTATCTGTAAGTTCTGTGTGTGGTTTTTGTCTTCCTACCTCTTGAGGGCCTGCCCAGTGACCGCTTCGATCTTTCTCTGTCCCTAGAACACAGGGCCTGGCACAGAGGATACTCAGTAAATATCTGTCTGTTGAGTTAATGGGTTGAATTCATTAAGTGATGTGCCGTATTCAGCTTTGAAAAGCACCCGTCAGATTAGGGCTGCAGAATGCTCACTGAAGGTGGACAGCGAGCTGGGCTGTCTGAGTGGACCCAAGAGAGACAGCAGAGCTTCTTGGTTGAAAACATGACTCTAGAGCCAGTGTTGTGGGTCAAATCCTGGGTCCACCATTTCCCAGCTGTGTGGCCTTGAATGAGTGACTTCACTTCTCTGTACTGCTTTTTCCTCATCTTTAAATGTTATCAGAACATGAAAATTAAACAAGGTAATTTAAGCAAAGTGCTTAGGCAGGGATCTGGCATATCATGAGCAGCTAGAATTATTGATATTATCATCGTATTGTGATTCAGAGAAACAGAACATTCAGACCTTCAGAATCATCGCTTCATACTCTTTGCCTCGATAAAGGAGTTTTGAGCCCTTATAGTTGGGGAAGTCAAGACCAACCGTGTCAGGGTACTGGATGATTCCTTTTTCTTTCTTTTCTGGTCCCCTCACCTGCTGGTCTGGCTATCGTAGCCACTGGTCTCTGAGGACCCGATTTTGGTCCTCTCTCCTGCTGGGCACCTCGTAGCCCAGAGTCAGACAGACAGAGCATGCCGAGAGCCAGGGCCTGGGAGGTTCTCCCTGCGTCCTTTCTGTCTCTGAGCCACAGTTTCCCCATCTGAACAACTGGAGTCAGTCATTTGGGCCGCACACATTTATTGAGCACGTGCTATGTGCCAGGCACTGAGCTGCGCCCTGAGCACACAGCAAGGAACAAAATAATAAGTAAAATCTACGTGATCATGACTAGGGGAGAAAAACACAGGGATGGGGCACAGGAAATATGTGGGTCATAGGGAGATACATTTTGAAAAAAGAGTGTCCAAGGAAAGGGCTCGCTGGACAGGTGACATCTGAGCAGAGACCCAAGGGCCATGAGGGAGGAGCCATGCAGAGGGAATAGCCAGTACTTTGGCTGAAGTCCCCTGGGTGTATTTGATGGCCAGTGTGGCTGGAGCTGACAGAGTCAGTGGGAGAGGCTGGGGGATCACATGGGGCCTTATGGACCCCGGTGAAGACTTTGGCTTTTCCTTTGAGTGAGTTGTAAGCCACAGAAGGGTTTGAGCAGATGCAGGACAGGATCTAATTTGAGTTTTAACAGGATCCCTCTGGGCTCCGAGTGGGGAACAGACTGGGGGGTGGGGGTGGGGAATGAGGGCAGAGCAGGAAGATGGTCTCTATAGAATCTTTAGGAGATTCTGGAACCGTCAGTGGTCTCTCCTGTGCTTCTGTGTACGTAAGCTCTGAGAGTCTAAGATTTTTAAGACCCCAAAGATTCTATGGTTCCAAAGGTTCCTCCCCCACCCACAGTAATGTGAGGTCAGAGTTGTTTGTCGCTGTGTGCTGTGTGTCCGCTGTTGGGTCCCCAGTGCCTAGAACAGTGCCTGGCGTATTGTAGGAGTTCCACAGAGAGGGAAGAACTGAAGGAAGGAAGAATCAATCTAAGGTCCAGAAGGCGATTCCAAGGTTTTAAAGATTAAGAAGTTGCTCTTAAAGTGCAACTCAGATTCTTAAATGCCCACCCTGAGCTGGGTCAGAGAAGGGTAAGCAGGCCTGGGATGGATGAAGAGGGGGAGGAGGGCATTCCTGGTAGGAGAGAGAAAGAGAGCAAGGAGGCAGGACCCAGGGCCCTGAGCCACAGTACAAAGTTTGACTTCAGGAACCTGAGGCCTTATAGATTCGGAGAACCCTGGCTTTGGGCATCAGTTTTCCACCAAGTGCACTTTCAGTACCCACCTGTGTGCCAGGGACACGGAGGTGATCGAGGAAGCCCTGGCTTTACCCTCCCGGGTCTCACAGTCTCGTAGGGGAGACAGACCCATCCCCAGATGATGCCCAACCAGAACAGGCAGGGCTGGGATGGGGAGCCCAGGGGCGTCAAGAGCCCACAGAGGACTTCTGACCCAGCCTGGGGTTCAGGGAGGGCTTCCTGGGGGGAGGAGGCATCAGAGCTGAGGCCTAAAGCATAAGTAGGAGTTCTCGAGGAGAAAAGAGGCATGGGGAGAAGGGGTGTTCGGGAAGAGAATCTTCTAAGCAGAAAGAACAGAATGTACAAAGGCCTAGAAATAACATCTGTTGGAGGAAAAGTCCAAGGTGGCTTAGACAGAGTTTGACACATGGCAGGAGATGGAGCTGGACTGGTGGGCCAGCAAGAGACCCAAGGTCACCCAAGGTCTTGTGGGAGGTTGTAAGAAACTTAAACTTGTTCCTCACTGTACTGGGTAGCCATGGCAGGTTCTGAGCAGGGAGGGAGAGGTCAGATTTGTGCTTTATGAAGACCCCTCTGGCTGCCATGAGGAGCAGACTTGCTCAGGAGACCAGGGGAGGCTGAGCGAGCGGGGATCTGGGTGGACCAGGATTGAAGGGGGAGCTGTGGTCAGAAGTATTTAGGAGGTAGGAAGAGTAGCTGGGTCTCTGATGTCCCACTTTCTGGGAGGAGTAGAAATCTATGGAAATCCTTCCTGGGGAAACTTTTTTTTCAGTATTTGCTCAGAGCCCCGAGAGTGAGTTAGCGTATTGTAGGAGTTCTGGAGACCAGCCGAGCCTCCCGTTGTGATGGGGACAGTGAGACAGCGCCATCTGGGGGTTGCTTAGGAGTGCGGGGATGAGTGAAGGGTGGGTGTGTCCTATGGCCCACAGCTGCTTATCCAAAGAGGCCACCCACTCCCCTTTTATTTATTTTATTTATTTATTTATTTTTAAGATTTTATTTATTTGACAGAGAGAGACACAGCAAAAGAAGGAACACAAGCAGCGTGAGTGGGAGAGAGGAGCAGGCTTCCCGCGGAGCAGGGAGCCAGAAATGGGGCTCGATCCCAGGACCCTGGGATCATGACCTGAGCTGAAGGCAGACGCTTAACGACTGAGCCACCCAGGCGCCCCTCCATTCCCCTTAAAAAAATTATTTTATTTTTGTCCTTTTATTTATTATTTGATAGGACTTAGCATTCAAAGTATTTTTATTTTTTAATTTCACGCTTTTATTTAAATTCTAGTTAGTTAATACATATGGTAAAATTGCTTTGTTTTTTGTTTTTCAAGTAGTGGTCAGTATTAAAAATTGGGATAGTTGTGATTTAAGAAAACACTTCTAGCTTCTCTTGCAAAACCAAAGCGATCTGGCAGACCATCGGGAAAGAGATGGCCAGATGGCAGAGGATTTGAGGAAGTGAGAAGGGGACAGTGGGGGAGGGGCTTGGCGGGCGAACGCTGAGGCAGCAGCCTCACCCGGGAGCCAGAGCCAGAGTGTGAGAGGGACAGAAGAGACAGATCCGGGGCAGGAGCTTCCTGGAGGAGGGAATGGTGGAGCAGAACGTGCAAGCTGGGCCTGGGAATGGAGTGGGACATTTATAACTGCACCCAAACCTGAATGAGAAGTTGCCAAAGAAAAGGATAAAGATGAATTGCGACTGAACAAGGAAGAAGGGAAGGTGAATCGTTTGATAAAACCTTGCTAAGCACCAGGCTCTGTGCTGGGTGGAACTAGGGACCCAGCAGTGGTTGAAACAAGCTCAGAACCTGCCCAGTGGGAGGATACAGACCTGTCCCCACGCAGAAATGCCGTAGAGTGGTGGGCTAGGGTGGGAGAGCTGAAACCAAATAGAGAAAGGGCTGGGAGAGGAGGGCAGCGCTGAGGATGGAAGGGGGGTGGGGGGTAGGAGGCTTCTGACAACCAGCTCCAGCCTCGCCTTTCGTTCTGCCTTCCCCAGGATGCCCTGGAAGCCCAGCTAGGGCCCGACTTTGGCCCCATGCGTCTCACCCGCTGCCAGGCTGCCCTGGCAGCTGCCATCACGCTCAACCTCCTGGTCCTCTTCTATGTCTCATGGCTGCAGCACCAGCCCAGGAACTCCCGGGCCCGGGGTCCCCGCCGTGGAGCTGCTGCCGGCCCCCGCGTCACCGTCCTGGTGCGGGAGTTCGAGGCCTTTGACAACGCGGTGCCTGAGCTGGTGGACTCCTTCTTGCAACAGGACGCAGCCCAGCCCGTGGTGGTGGCCGCCGACACGCTCCCCTACCCGCCCCTGGCCCTGCCCCGCGTTCCCAACGTGCGCCTGGCGCTGCTCCAGCCCGCCCTGGACCGGCCCGCCGCGGCCTCGCGCCCCGAGACCTATGTGGCCACCGAGTTCGTGGCCCTGGTGCCCGACGGGGCGAGGGCCGAGGCACCGGGCCAGCTGGAGCGCATGGTGGAGGTGCTCCGGGCGGGAGGGGCACGCCTGGTGGCCGCCCCCGTCGCCTCGGCCAACCCTGCCCGGTGCCTGGCCCTGAACGTCAGCCTGCGGGAGTGGACGGCCCGCTACGGCCCCGCGCCCTCCGCGCCGCGCTGCGACGCCCTGGACGGAGACGCCGTGGTGCTCCTGCGCGCCCGCGACCTCTTCAACCTGTCGGCGCCGCTGGCCCGGCCGGTGGGCACCGGCCTCTTCCTGCAGACGGCCCTGCGCGGCTGGGCCGTGCAGCTGCTGGACCTGCCGTTCGGCGCGGCGCGCCAGCCCCCCCTGGCCACGGCCCACGCGCGCTGGAAGGCGGAGCGCGAGGGGCGCGCGCGGCGGGCGGCGCTGCTGCGCTCGCTGGGCGTCCGCCTGGTGAGCGGCGAGGGCGGGCGCCTCGAGTGGTTCGGCTGCAGCAAGGAGACCGCGCGCTGCTTCGGGACGGTGGTGGGCGACACGCCGGCCTACCTCTACGAGGAGCGCTGGACGCCCCCGTGCTGCCTGCGCGCGCTGCGCGAGACCGCCCGCTACGTGGTGGGCGTGCTGGAGGCGGCGGGCGTGCGCTACTGGCTGGAGGGCGGCTCGCTGCTCGGCGCCGCCCGCCACGGGGACATCATCCCGTGGGACTACGACGTGGACCTGGGCATCTACCTGGAGGACGTGGGCAACTGCGAGCAGCTGCGGGGCGCCGAGGCGGGCTCGGTGGTGGACGAGCGCGGCTTCGTGTGGGAGAAGGCCGTAGAGGGCGACTTCTTCCGCGTGCAGTACAGCGAGAGCAACCACCTGCACGTGGACCTGTGGCCTTTCTACCCCCGCAACGGAGTCATGACCAAGGACACGTGGCTGGACCACCGGCAGGATGTCGAATTCCCCGAACACTTCCTGCAGCCTCTCGTGCCCCTGTCCTTCGCTGGCTTCGTGGCGCAGGCGCCTAACAACTACCGTCGCTTCCTGGAGCTCAAGTTCGGCCCCGGGGTCATCGAGAACCCCGAGTACCCCAACCCGGCACTCCTGAGTTTGGCGGGAAGCGGCTGAAGCTCCAGCGCCCGCTCCTGGGGTCTGAAGAACACTCATGCGCGGGGAGCTGCCCTTTGCTTTGGCGCCGTTGGCATTTGGGGGGCGGGCCGGGGACGGGCCTGGACCTCGAAGACCTGCCCTGCCCAAGATTTCCAAGAGCTTGGGTTTTATTCAGAGCACGGACAGTCTTAGAAAGAGGAAAACGTGTACGTTCTGCGGCTGGACTGCCGCGATTAAAACCCCAGCTCTACCACTTACTAGTTGGGCGGGCCTGGGCGAGTGTCCCAGTTTCTGGGTGCGCATCACTTTCCTCCAGGATTCAGTGGGTGCCCTCGCAGCGTCTCGCTCGCGAAGAGCCCCGCAGGACTCTTGGTTGCTGGGGTTGCTTCCGCCACTAGAGGGCGCCTTTGTCCTGCTCTGGGGCCAAGGCCCGAGTAAGCCCAGGACCTCCCCGTTCCCGTAACTTTCCTAACTCTTGAGCCTTTGGTCTCTCTAATCCCCCGTACCTGGAGGGACAGGATGACTATCTCCCTTCTTCCAGAATGCGACCTCCCTGCCTCCTGGGAGAGCCCTGTGAGATGCATGCTGCTCTTAACCCCATCTTACAGAGGAGGAAACAGGCTCAGCCCTGAGCTGCAGCCGTGGTTAAGAACCGAGTTCTGGATGCCAGACCCACTCCATATTAACTGCGTTACCTCATTGTTGTAGAGCTCTGCACCTGTTAGCCCACTTGCAAGGCGGGATAAACAGCAATCCTAGCTCACATAACTCAGCACGTGTGATGTGCCAGGCATCCTTCTTGGTGTTGGACACGGATTAACTGATCAGTCTCTCACCTCAACCCTCTGAGGCGGGAGGGAGCTGCTATTATTTCCGTTTTACAGGTGAGCACACTGAGGCCAGAATGGTAAAGTCACTTGCCCAAGGTCAGACAGCTTAGGAAGTGACAGAGCAGGGACTCGAACCCAGTCAGGCTGGAGCCCACACTGAAGTGGGATATTCTGCCCCTCTCTAATAACTCTACATGAGACGGGGGGGGGGGGGGGGGGGGGGGGGGTCCCGGGAGGCCGCACCACTTAGCAGGTGAAGCCATGGCGGCCTTCCTTTTGTGATCATGCACCCAAGAGTAAGTGCTGTTTGGGCAAGTATCCCAAATATGTGTATTTATTTATGAATTATATACAGGTACTACTATCGTTCTGTATATTAGTAATGAGGCTTAAATTATCCCATTTTAAAATTTAAAATAAACTCAGAGGTTTATTTTAACTGGCTCATCTCAGTGACTTGTCCCGCACACCCCCTGGGTGTGTGCACCCAGCTTTTGGGACCATGGATTCTGAGGCGGGAGAGGGCTGGGGTCAAAACCCAGCGCTGCCACACACCCTTTCTCCCATTGGGAATTTGGGCCGCGGTGACTCTCCCTCTCTGAACCTCTGCTTTGTACCTGGGAAATGCGGGTCATGAACGCTCACCCCCCAGGGGTGCTGTGAGCCACTTGAGTGGAACGGGCTCAGGAATCAAGGCTGGGTTTGGCTCCTGGCACGGCCCCTTATTTTCTTTGTGATCTTAGGCAAGTCACTGCCTCCCCAAACCTATAGGATGGGTGTGGGGAAGGGGTGATACTGCAGAAGCGGGAAGCCCTTGGAGGAGGAGGCATCACAGACCAGCCTCAGCATTGGCCCGCCAAGCCCCTCCCCCACTGTCCCCTCTCACTTCCTCAAATCCTCTGCCATCTGGCCATCTCTTTCCCGATGGTCTGCCAGATCGCTTTGGTTTTGCAAGAGAAGCTAGAAGTGTTTTCTTAAATCGCAACAGAAGATAAATGCAAATCTGGCCCACTCTCAAACGTGGCTCCCACATCCAAAGTCCGATTTCTTAGAACACAGCCTCTGTTTTTAGCCACTGAACCCGCAAATGGCTCCCAGAGACTGTTGGGTTTCCATGGAGCATTCTGGAAACATATGGGGATGATTTGGGTTATCACTGTGATCGGGTGGTGCTTTTGGCTCTTGGGAGGCATAGCCCATGGATGGAGATGTCATAATATGCAGGGCATCTTCACATAATAAAGCATTGGCCCTTGTCACATACGGTTTTGAAATGTCCTCTTGGACATTCATGAAGGAAGTGTGATGTTCAAAATCGTTTGCAACTGGTACGGTGATATAAATTAATATATACGTCAATATATGCATCAAAATGTTTAAATATTTCTTTTTTCTTCTCTGAAGAATGGGAACGATCTCTCTATATATACATATTTCTTTAAATTGTTTGCCAAGAACATAAGCTGAAGCTCAAATCATTCTTAAATCATGCAATGATTTTGTTTTATTTAGAAACTTAGAAATTGTTGGTGCGATTTCTTGATTGATATGCTAAATATATATATACACATATATATTCACTTATTTAATTACTTTATTTATTATATTAAATATATATAAAATAACCCTGGCTTAGCTGTGATTTGATAAGAAAACCACATCAAGTGCTTCTGGCAACTTCCCATTAAACTGAATGCCATTAGGTGACTTGGGGTCTCAACAGATAAAGAATTTCTCTTAGCACCATCCATAGGGTTTTGGTGTTTTCTCCTCTCTTCATTGTTCCTGAACTAATAACAATTACACTAAAAACTTTTGTAGACTTTATAAAACTGCCTGACAGCTTTGTGTATTCAGTATCTTTATTATCGACTAGGTAGTAATAGGACAGAAAACCTATTGCAGCAATTAACTTGAATTAATGAGTTTATATTAGGATATGTTATTACTGAATTTTAGTGCTTTCTCAATTCCTTTTGCATGATTAGCCAGCCAGAACAGAAGTATTTCGATATTGTAAAAACCAGCACATCCATACTAGTGCATATTAACCAAATTTTAGCCTCACGTGGAAAAACTTGGTTAAGAATTATCTGAGCCCCAGGGGCACCTGGCTGGCTCAGTCAGAAAGAGCATGCAACTCTTGATCTCAGGGTCGTGAGTTCAAGCCCCACGTTGGGGGTAGAGATGACTAAAAAAATAAAATAAATAAACTTTAAAAAATAAATAACATAAAATCATGTGCAGGTAGGTTATAGTATCTATGACCTTCATTTCAGCAGAGCCCAGAGGATTTTCCCAGAGCTGACAAGCCAACACGTGGCCGTGATGTGGTTAAAGCATGAAAATATTACATTATAGATTACTGATCTGTTGGTAAACGGTCATCGCCATGGATCCCCTGTTATTACCTCCCTGGCTTTCCATGGGGACTCCCTGGACTTCTCTCCCCACACCCTACCCCCAGCAACCAAGGGGTTAACACTGGGCACAGCCAGAGGGAAGGAGGTTCGAGTCTCTACCGCTATTGGATGCTCTGCTCCCTTTACCAAGCAGTAAATATTTGTGTATCCTCCCTGGGCATTACAAAAGATTCACCATGGAAAGTCAATGGCTGGCAAACCGCCTGTGGACATACGCACCTTTATATACGATAGCCCCAAACCAGAAACCACCCAGTGTCCCTGTCAGGTGGGTGGATACACAAACCTGCACCCAAACAGTGGAATACTCGTCGGTGATTAAAAACAAAAAGGAATAAACAGATATGTACACAAACATGACTAAATCTCAAAGGCATTATGCTAAGTAAAAGAAACAGGATGCGAAAAGCTACCTGCTACAGGATTCCACTAATGTGAAATTCTAGGAGAGGCAAACTAATCTTCAGTGACCCAAAGCAGATCAGTGGTTGCCTGGGCCTGGGGGCGGAGGGAGGGACAGAATGCAAAGGAGCACCAGGATATTTGGGCGTGATGGGAATATCATGTATCTTGATTGTGGTGGTTTTCACTATCTATGCATCTGTCAATTTTTTTAAGATTTTATTTATTTATTTATTTATTTATTTGAGAGAGAGAGAATGAGTGAGCGAGAGGGCACACGAGAGGGGGGAGGGTCAGAGGGAGAAGCAGAATCCCAGCTGAGCAGGGAGCCCGATGCAGGACTCGATCCCGGGACTCCAGGATCATAACCTGAGCCGAAGGCAGTCGCCTAACCAACTGAGCCACCCAGGTGTCCCTGCATCTGTCAATTTTATCCAAACACTTCCTTTCATGGATACACTTTATTGTATGCAACTTATACCTTAATAAGGTTGACATTCCCCCCCCAAAAAAAAAGATTGGGAGAGGGAGTCCAACAGGCCTAGTAACACTGTCGCAAGGAAAGACAAAGGTGTGGGGTGCCTGGGTGGCTCAGTCAGTTAAGTGGCTGCCTTCAGCCCAGGTCATGATCTCAGGGTTCTGGGATCGAGTCCCACGTCGGGCTCCCTGCTGAGTGGGGAGCCTGCTTCTCCCTCTCCCTCTACCTGCTGATCCCCCTGCTTGTACTCTCTCTAATAAAAAATAAAAAAATCTTAAAAAAAAAAAGACAAAGGTGTGATTACCCTGTGCCTGCCAGCCCCCCATCCTGGCCCAATGCAGGGCTAGTGTGAGGACTCCCTCCCAAGCTAGACTCCTTCGAAGGAGCAAGAGGGGTGTCCCCAAAAAAGGGGTGGGTGGAGCCATGGAGAAAGGGAGAGGGAGGTGGGAGCCGGGCCCCAGAGGATGTCTGTCCAGGTGCTTTTCCTTCTTTTCTTCTTTTTTTTTTTTAAAAGATTTTATTTATTAATTTGACAGAGAGACAGCGAGAGAGGGAACACAAGCAGGGGGAGTGGGAGAGGGAGAAGCAGGCTTCCCGCGGAGCAGGGAGCCCGATGCGGGGCTCGAACCCAGGACCCTGAGATCATGACCTGAGCTGAAGGCAGACGCCTAACGACTGAGCCACCCAGGTGCCCGGTTCCAGACTTTTTTAAATGACCCAGATCAGTGTCTTAGGCAAATTAGTGGCATGTGCCCAGTAAGTCTTGAAAATGGAATCGAAAAATGGGGAAATTGGAACTTGGCCTAGTTATGGATTCCTTATATGTATACATATTGTACATATAGGATATGGGATATATTACACATGTGTGTATCTCTGTAGACAGGCATCCTTCATAATCTGATCCATTCCCCCAAAAGCATTAAATAGAAAATTTGAAGATAGGGCATATGGGTGGGTCAGTCGTTAAGCGTCTGCCTTCGGCTCAGGTCATGATCCCAGGGTCCTGGGATCGAGTCCCGCATCAGGCTCCCTGCTCGGCAGGAAGCCTGCTTCTCCCTCTCTCGCTTCCCCTGCTTGTGTTCCTGCTCTCTCTCTCTGTCAAATAAATAAAATAAAAATTTTTTAAAAAAGAAAAAGAAAATTTAAAGATAAACAACTATTTTAAGTGGGGAAAGTAATGCACTCCCAGCTCCTTCCAACAACCCCAACTAATTTCCCCAAATACCATTAAAACTCAAAACACTTTTATAACCACCCACCAAGGATTTTGGCCTAATAGAAAGCATTGAAAACGCCAATTACTTCATTATTCAACACTTAATGAACTCATTAGTAGTTATGTTTGTGTGCAATACACAATTTTGCACCGAATCAGATATGAATTATATTTTCCTTCCACACTGCAAGGATCATGAGATGTAACTAAATACCGCCCCCCCCCCAAAATGCTGAAGATACTCAAGATACCATCTATAATTGAACTCAGATTGGTGGTGCCTCCAGGTACCTGGCAGGAGCCTACATAGGGCTCTGGGAGGGGGAGATAATGATCAGTAATGTGTAACATGTTTCAGCAATGTACAAGGCAGGATTGTTAGAGCGGGTGAGGCGCGATTGGTGTCATCCACATCCTGGACTCAAACGGGACTTAAAAACAGTTGCACAGGGCGCCTGGGTGGCTCAGATGGTTAAGCATCTGCCTTCAGCTTGGGTCATGATCCCCGGGGTCCTGGGACCGAGCCCCACGTCTGGCTCCTGGCTCAGCGGGAGCCTGCTTCTCCCTCTCCTACTCCCCCTGCTCGTGTTCCCTCTCACTGTTGTCTGTCCAATAAATAAAATCTTTTTAAAAAATAAAAATAAAAAATAAGGGCGCCTGGGTGGCTCAGTCGTTAAGCGTCTGCCTTCGGCTCAGGTCATGATCCCAGGGTCCTGGGATCGAGTCCCACATCGGGCTCCCTGCTCTGCGGGGAGCCTGCTTCTCCCTCTCCTGCCCCCCCTGCTTGTGTTCCTGTTCTCGCTGTCTCTCTGTCATATAAATAAATAAAATCTTAAAAAAAAATAAAAATAAAAATAAAAAATAAAATGCAGATCTTCAGTGTACAGACGAATTTTTCCAAACGTATAGGTCTGTGTAAGCAACACCCGCCTCAAGATACGGGTTTGCTACATCGTGAAGTTTCCCTGGGCCCCTTCCCAGTCACGAAGTCACCCTCATAGGTCATCACTGTTTGGATTTCTCGCACAATAGACCAGTTTAGCCTGTTCCACACCTTCATAGAAACGGAACTAGGTAGCATACACTGTTTCCAGCTTTCACTCAAAATGTTATCCATGGGATGCATATCCAAATGGAATAGATCTTTTTTTTTTTTTTTTGCTGAGCGGCCATCCATCATATTTGTACTCCTCTATCAATTGATGCATTGCCAAATTTTGGCAATTATGGGGAGAGCAGCCATAGACATTTGTGTACTGGGCTTTGGGTGGACCGAAGTTTTTTCTTCTCTTTGGTAAGTGGGACTCCTGAGCTGTTAGTAAGTGTATCATGTTGACTTGGTAAGAAACTGCCCAGCAACTTTCCCCAAGTGTCTGGACTGTTGTGCATTCCCGCCCGCAGAGTGTGGGGCTCTATACAGTCGCTCTACTTCCTCAGCCACACTCGGCACTTGCTCTCTGCCTTTCCAACAGGTCTGCAGTGGCAGCTCGTGGTTTCTCCAGTGGGGTTTTTTGATGAACAGCTATTTTAGGTCAACGAAGCCCGATTTTTCGTGTTTGTTTTTTCTGTGTGGCTCATGCTTTTAGTCTTAAAAACATCCGATGAGATATGCTTCACAACTTTATTGCTCAAAAAGGTCCTTTGGAATGACAGCAGTCTTTGTCCTTGGTGTCCCCCACCCTGGCAGGGTCCCCTGGAGTGTTTGTTACTGTGGAGGGAACAGAGGGCCTGGGGACAGGATGGGATGTACCGTAGAGTCACAACACACACACACACACACACACACACACAGTTACAGCCACCAAAACAGCCAGCAAACCCACTGGAACATCCTTCCTCGCAGAGGGCCGAAGCCCACATTTACACTATTTCTCCATCTTGTTTCCTAACTTTGGGTGGGAACAGGAATTGAGGACTGGGGGAGATCTGGGGAGAGACACACACATACACATCTACCCCAGCATTGAGGTCTCCCAGATCTGATGTCGTGGGGTGGGGCATCAGCTGAGGCCCCTGGGTCCCCCGAGTGTGCAGGCAGGGCCTCCAGAGCCCCAGTTCATGATCCCAATGTCCACAGTGGCCCCATCAGGGCAGGGAACGTCCCTATGGGGTTTACATAACTGATTCCTTCTCGCAGCGGCCCGCATCCCCCGCAGGTCCGGGACAGCGTTTGAGGAGGGGGTTCCCCTCCTCGGTAGGGACGGGCAGGGGAGACAGGGGCGTCTCGCTCTTCACTTGGATCAACTCTGGCACCGAGCTCTGCAACTCTGAGCGATCCACGTAATTTTGGAGGAGTCCTGCCCCAAAGGCATCACCTTCCACGTTGAGAACGGTACAGGACCGGTCCCTGAAGAGGCAGGAGTGACAGGGAAGTGAGTGGGAGGGGAGAG